TGACTGATGGTTTAAATATTTTTTTAGCTTCAAACTTCAATCGAATCCGGTAAGATCCCGTTAAACTTCTGTCCTTGCTGTCTACTTTATATTCGACTTTATTATTCGTCCGTTCGAGGTTCACCCTGTTAATATTGCATTTTCTGGGGCCTTTGTAATATTCTTGTGTTCACATAAGGCGAGCAGGTTTCAGTTTTTTTATGACGTTTCCCAAGACCAGAGACTGGTGCACTTGTTTACATTATTTCTTGGTACTGCGGGGTGTGGGACTTCATAACATTCTGCACCACGTTTTACTTGACTTGGCCAGGGATGATGGATGTATCGAACGTCACGAATCTTGGCTCTCAATCCCACATGACTGGGAAAAGAAAAATATTTACTTTCTGCATAGATAATCAATGAAGAACAGAGAACCCTGCACATAAGGCTTCATAATTTTGAATGCATGATGGCTAGTTTTGAAGTAAAGTAGAATATCTGATTACTTGTTTTATATGTCAATGCATATCCATGCATATTAGATGAAAATTTGAATTAACTATTACTTATTTCTTTATAGTTTATTTAACGACACTTTTTTCAATAGCTCAGACTATATAACGTCACGTGAGAGGATGATGATTGGTAATGAATTGTTATCTGACGCTCGTAGGGCCTATTTGGTCAAATCCATTCATTCACCGACACTTCAAAAGTGTTTTATATGGACCCATATTTACGTTTTGATAAGCAAAGACCTCCCTACTTACACATTTTCTATTTTAATTGTCCTGCTGTATTAATCTAAAAATTGTAGTTTTTTTCAATATTAAATCAGTAGCATTTCAAATTTTAATTTATAACAGCCCGTCTTGACTATGACGAAAATATGTTGGAACTGGTTTTATTAGCTTTAAATGAATACGTGAATACGCTCATAGTTTGAAGTTATTGTTATTTGTAGTGGCATATTTGTTATTGAATGTAAGCATATTTTGCGTTATAATCTAAATGTTTTATTTTACACCGTTCACAATTTTTTTAACAGTACCTGTAATACCTCTATTGTTTGTAAAGGTAGATTTTATAAATTAAATACGAAACATTTTCTGTCAACACCACCGCATAATTTACATTAATTTACCTTTACTAAATACAGGTAGCCCAATGTAATACAAACTTTATATGAACAAAATTAGATAATAACATGTTGGAATGTTATAAAACAGTCTATTTCATTTGCCAAACAATGATAAAATGGACTACCCTTTCAGTACCGAAGTAGCAGACATTTTAAGTTTTATTAGAATGCCACTACCTTATTTTATGTTTTTATAATTTAAAAAATTAAATTTCCGTTTCCGAGAACCAACTTGGGGAAAACCCAACACATTTATTTATAATTACGAGTGAATAAAAACATATTCTGCCGTGAATATACCATGTTCTACCGGCACAGGTTTCGCGCAACTGGAATGAGCAGGGGCCTAGCAACGAGGGTGACCTTGACTTGACAGTCACGGGGGAGTTTAGGGGGGGTCTGTTACACGGCGGCTGACCTGTCTTGTGTTTGGGTTGCTGTTTAAATTATACGCCCAGTATATTCCCACCACAGGTACAACCATCTCGCAACATTATTTTACTGACATTTGAGAAAAACATTTTAATTCACTACATACAAATAACTTGCTATTGCTATGGAAACTATACCAGACATCAAGTATTGTGTACTGTAATAGGATTGTATGCCCTCACGCTAATTATATGCGTATTTAATGCGAAAATTCGTAATCATGATTTACAGCTTTTCATGCGCTCGTACAATTGTATATGCCTAACCAATCCATAAACTTTAATTGAACAGCACTACGGATATTGATTCTTGCACAAAGCTACTTCCTTTAAGCTAGTTACTACATGCATAAACACTGTTAATTAGCAGAATAAATATATAACTGTAATCTTTGTTCTGTAACACGTCAGTTTATAATCACACTTCCCTATACAGGTTCTACGCCAATTTATGTAATCCACCAATGCACTCATTATCAGAAACACGTCGTAATTAATACCCAATAACCTTATAACCTGACGTTGAAACAGAAGCTTAGCCATTTGATGTCGAATCGCCACAATGAGTCCCCCAAGCGAAATAACATTTAGTCATTGACTGCGTTAATTAGTACCAGTTCATTATGATTGGATGATAGTGACATCATCACTTATGTCATAAATCCTCATGAACTCTCCTTCTAGTTTATTTGCAATGCAGTATAGTGGCTGAGAGAACTTTGCTACAGCTGGATTCAATCTTGTCTCGGGAAACTCCGTATGAGATGTTGACCTACTAAGTAGTTAAATGTTTAGACGTGGCCGCTGAGTAACTCTTTAAGGGAAATGAGGGGAACAATAGTGAGATTAAATTTCAGGTGCAGTGGGTTAGTTAATTTTTTTATTTATTTTTTTTTCGAAATTTTTCTGTTTCTTTTGGATTTGAATATTTATTCGGGCGTTTATATGATTATGATCTCTTTTATTGTATTTATATTCTTATAGTATATTTTGTTTTTCTTATTCTTTATTTAATTTTAAGTTACTTCATACTTTAAGCTGTACTGTCCTTCACTTTAGCACAAATTTGTCACGTCACTGATATATAGCTTGAGGGGTTATTTAATTCAACCCCGTCGACACTTACCAGGTATTCCAAAGGGAGTCGCTGAATCAGAAATTTTCCTTCTTTTTAATATGCATGTGGGTGGAATAGGGAGACTTCTGTACTCCAGAGGTGTAACTTTTACGTGCAGAGCTCTGCGTACATCACGACATAATTGCTCCAATTAGCCCCTTTTAACATCAAGAGGAATCCAGAACGTTACTTTGCTCTGAAGAGTTCCCTCTTTGTTTGCTCAGTTATTGGAAAATCCGATTAGCGCCGATGGTTTTATAAAATTCGCCACTTTTACTGCAGTTCTGTTCCATGTCCCACGTTATTTCTTTCAAATTTCTATAGGATCTTATATTACACGTTTTGTGGGCTTTATTCTTGTTTTATAGCGAATCTCAATACTTATCTTAGTACATAGGACACATTCAAGATTCTGTATCACTCGATGACTTTCTTCAGGACCCTGAAATATTTATCGTATTTATTAACGTATTATTTGCTGGTAAATCTAATTGCTTAAAAATCACATTTACTTAGAGTAATATACTGTATCTAGTTTTTAAAGTTGTCAACCAGTGTTGCCATACATGTAAAATATCTTGATATTTTTAAAAATAAATAATACCTCAGTTGTGGAAATAATTTATTGGAGAACAGTGCGTTTAAAAAGGCCTTTCTCATCTCGGCATGGTATTCAATAAAATATCACTTAAAATGTAATATTTTTTCTCCGTTAAACACCTCCTCTAAAAATTAGCTTCCTTCGAGAAACTATTTCTAGCTAAATTTAGCACAAATCTTAATTCTTCCATCTGTATTCAAATGCCTAGTTCCGTGTTTAGGGTTGTTCTGTTACTAGTGATTATATATGGTCATCGTCATTCTACCATTTCTCAACACTCGACTCTTCCCTGTGAAGAATTGCTCTTGTTCTAATAAGATTTTGAAATTAATAACAGATCATATTTTCAATATGATGCAGTATTGATAATTATGTACAGAATAAATTACAAAGGTTCAGTTGGCTGTACCTTAACAAGTCCCTAACAAAATAATGTTAAAAACTTTACACGATTATAGGACCATCTTCGTTTTATGACAGTGAATGTTGGAGTTTAATTAAACAAAAACTCCAACAATTTAATCTTCTGGATTGAAATTCCCCCAGAGCTGTGTCTGCTTACAGAAGAACGGATGCTGAGAGAAAAATAGATGTTAGACAAAAATTTAATATATTCAGTCTAGGTGAGAAGTTATTAGAATGCCAACAAGTGCTTATAACAAATTTTGATAATGCCAACTTATCGAGTTCCTCGGAAGCTGTTTGACTGCCAACTTAAAGGAAGCAGACAGACATAGACCACTGATGATATGGAAAAATGAATTCTTTTAACTCGAAAATAGGCCCGAACGTTGCAACAGCTGAAGACGGTTTTCAATAATCACATTTCTTCTGCCTTTATTTCCCCTTTGTCCCCTTCTGTTTCTGTCATTTTTCTCTTCTCGCATCTATCCCCTTCATCTTTACTCAGTTCTCCTCGTAATTTCCCTCTTTTGTTACTGTCCTCTTGAAACGCATAGTTGACTTTGTTAATGTGAAAGTATTTCGTAACTACCTTGTACGATAACTGTTTATCCATAGTAAGAAAGGTTGTCTCTCTCTTCGTCCTACCCTGTAAAGACTGCAAGGAACATGCACGAATGTGTGGTTTAATGTAATTTAAAATCATCGTATTAAATCTCTGCAACGGTGGAAAGGCACACGTTCATGCCGTCGGTGTGGCTACGGAGGCCTGATCGCGCGTTAAATGCACAGATGAGGAGTTATGGAGGGTGTAGCGTCATGGCTCCTCTCTGTCCACACAGCGGTCCACATTGGATTGATCGGAAATGGAATTTATATCAGCTGCATGGTAAAAAACAAGGCGTTCCATATGCAACCACACGCGTCTCTGAACTGTGAATAGATAATGCTAGTGTTGCCAGAGAACCCAATTTTTTTGTTTTCGTTTATCATTTTCTTTGCTCTGGGCTGTGGTAAGTACCACAAGAAATTTAAATATTTCAAATTTACACAAGAAACTTTCTTCCGCAACCTTTATTTTATGAAACATCATTGTTATCTTTGAAGATGACTGTCTTGTGGGATGTTGCGATCATCGTCCTGATGATGGAGGCAGTAAGCATCTCTGAAACGTTTGTCAGTTTCTGGAAGACTACACGGTGTAACATCCTAGAAGAAGTCGTTATCATATTATGGATGTGTTATATTTAGTGTAAAATTATATGAATTTTTTGAGGCAAGTTAAGGAAAATCAGTGACGCAGAAATCTTGGAAATATTTTTTCAGGTGTCATGGATGCGGAAACGTGACCTACACATCTTGACTTCCAGTATCTTCACGTACACTGGAGACGCGAGGTTTGGAGTAATCCACCCCGAGACGTCAGACGAGTGGAATCTGAGGATAGAGTACGTTCAGAAGCGAGACGCCGGTATTTATGAATGCCAGGTCAACACAGAACCCAAAATCAACATGGCGATCCTTCTGAACGTCGAAGGTAAGAATACATACCAGAGTTGTCTTTTCGCGTTTTGCTTACACGTGATCCCCACTTATCATTCTAAGGCAGCAAATGCCCTTTTGCCTTATTATGAGGAAATGTAAAAGTGCGAAATTAATATCTGTAAACAGACTAGCTGCTTCTCAACAATAATTTAATGTACGTTAGCGATTAGAATGGCGTACGGTTTTTAAAATAACTTGGTGACTATAACACGTAATTTTATTATGAATCGTGGTCGCCTTTTGAGGCTTTGGGATATTCTGTAACGTAGTGTCCTACGTGAACGAATTGACCGACGTCTGAAATGCCTCAGTTAGATATATCAGTGTTTCAGATAATTCTGTTGTACATTATCTCTCCATGATAAAGGCTACTACCGACCATCCCAAAAACTTTGTTCTGTCTCTGTGGATTACTAGATACATCGATAAAATTGCATTTAAAATTTTAATATGATAGTAATAATACTTTTAATTGTTGTTATTGTTATTATTACAGTATTTTGAAAACAATATATGAGACGAATATAATTACGTGATTAAACTAATTAGTGCCCGCTTCTTTGCTGCGTCATTAGTACTCTGTGATTTCGGATTTTCTGCAGCCTAGTGTAACTGTGAGAAGAGAATAGTTTTTGAGAATCTAATAGTCGCTCACTTAGTCAATAAATTTCCCGCCTTCCCCGGAACCTGAAAGTTTATTACCGTGTCTACAAGAGACCGCCACCGGTCCCAGTCCTGAGCTAAGTTAATCCACTACCTAGAAAACGTATGTCTCAAAGTTTCATTTTAATATTGTCCTCCCATATATGCGTAGATTTTTCGAGTTTTCTCTTTCCTTCAGGCTAAAGCTAAAATGCATTTTACATGTCCCTAATTATAAGCATTTGCGATCTTGGTACCTTCATGTATCTTCCATAGTGTAAATACTTTTACTCCTATGTTATAATCTTGGTTGGTATGCTGTGTTTAAAATTCAGTCTATTACTGTGATTTAATCGATTGGTAATTAGCCACACCGGCCTTGAATAATTAATGTAGGTTTTGTTCACTTTATCTGTAGATTAACGTAGTATAGGCTATAAATCCTATTACTGCAAATACTGTACATAACTCTGTACTCATAAATTAAGAATGCTGTAACTCGATATTTTCCTTTATTTCACGCATTAACAAGGTGTCATTTCACTGAAGCGATGTGCTCGATTTACACACACACATATTCAAACGTCGTATTGTAAGACAGTCAAATCAGAAATTCAACTCTTCAGTACAAGACTATGATAAGGTTAGGTTAGGTTAGTTTGAGTTACGTTAGGTTAGGTTAGTTTGGGTTAGATTAGGTTAGGTTAGTCTGGGTTAGGTTAGGTTAGGTTAGTTTCGGCTAGGCTAGGTTTGGTTAGGTTAGTTTCGGCTAGGTTAGGTTGGGTTAGGTTATTTTGGGTTAGGTTAGGTTAATTTCGGTTAGGCTAGGTTAGGTTAACTAACGACGTGGAGCTGTGGCCTGCTTGAGAATTTAATAGTCACTCAGCTACTTAAGAAATTCCCCTCCTCTTATTGAACTCGAAGTTTCATTATTTTGTTCACAAGATCTCGTCACCGGTCGATATTCTGAGCCAGATAAACTCATTCCACATTCTCTGACCATACATCCCTAAAATCTATTCTAATATTATCCTGCCATTCACACTTATCTCTTCCGAGTACTTTGTATCCTTTAGTCTTTCCAAACAAAACTTTTTATGCTACGTGCCCAACCCATCTCATCCTCATTGATTTAATTGTTCATTCTAATAATATTTGATGAAGAATACAAATTATGGAGCTTCAACTTATGCAGTTTTTTTCTCAGCCGCCTGTCACTTTATCTCTCTTAGGTCGTAATATTTTGCAAAGCACCCCGTTGTCAAACACCCTTAATATATTTCACCCCTTTACATACAAAACCTCGGTCCTTGCAGTAGTCACCAAAGTACGTATAAAAGCTGACCACACTGACTTGTAGGTTAATGCCCTGGTAACATGTAGTTGAATTCTTAGTTTTCTGTTCTCTGCAGGTAGTTTGATGTGCGGTCCTCCACCCTGTACTGGTATAGCATTCTCAGTGCTGTAGACACTAGTGACCTCTCCCGTGCAGACGCTCAGAGTTCTGGTCGAGTACTGTGCCACACAGATATGGAACACTTTTAAATGTCAAGTTAAGATTACATTTGGAAGTAGCACGTCCAATTTATTTAGCCAGTATTTAACTTTACAATAACCTATGATAATATTGATCCATCTGTGTAAGTCACAAAACGAAATTTGATTGATTAATATATTGTGTTATTTAATTAAAGTCTTTTCAGTGGCTTGTAACCTACTGTACGTAGTATTGATAACAGCATTTTATTTAAATTCTGTTTCGATAAAAGTTAGGTTTTGTTAACAGCAAAATTAGATGAAATTTTATATGTAGGCTTGCAAGAAGCCTCATAATCACTTTAAAATTAATTTTTCACAGAATTGTCAGATTAATTCAGTTAAATCAGAACAAAACACAGAAATAAATTTAATTTTTTCGGTGTGCGATTCCATGTTCTCGCGTCGGCAAGTCTATCGACGTTGCTCATCGTGGTCTGGCACCGACGTTTTCGAGGTTCTTACTGTCTACATCATCAAGACGATATGGAGGCAGCAGGAACCTCTGGAACGTCTGTAAGTCTCTGCCAGACTACACGGCATGAGAACCTGATATCTCACCAAGCGACCAGCACTCCAACCACTGCTTCGCCCTGCATTTAGCCTTCCTGTCATCCCGTCCTGCAGCGAGCCCCCGGGCAAGTTGATGTTTGTAACAGCTACGTAATTTAGTATTCCTCTTTGTAACTGAAAGGTAAAGTAATTACTGTTAGCCGCCTTATCTCGTTTCACTCTTTTTCTGTCTTCTGTCTTTGTCGCGTAATTTTTTTTTCTTATTAGTTTCTTTGTCTCTGTTTTTTCCCTTCCAGACACGCCCTCTGATATCCTTGACACTTCTCTTGGATCGCGAGCTTCGTCCGGCAACTCCAAACAAGGTTGACAACTATCAGCAACAAAAACAAACCTCTGCTGCTTGCTTTATTGCCTGCCTACTCGCTTCATTGTCTTCCTTTCTGCAAGCACTATTTTCTTGCTGCCAACTCACGAAGAATGTCTCCAGAAATATACCAATTGACTGCAAGTTTAAGTTCATGGGCCTGTAACCTATTAAATTGAAGTTCTGTTGTCTTTGGAAAATCCGGGCGGTGTAACGTACCCGTAGACCTCTGTTTCTTTTTGCCAATCGCGTGCACATGTCTGGTGTTCCTCGTACCTGGGATGTAGTGTCCTGTAGGTGGTATCAGCGCTTCAGAGAAACGTGTTGTGTCTAGTCTTATCTCTATATTTTACCCTGAAAATGGAGGTGGTACGTTAGTCCGAATGAGCCGGGATAGCTCAGTCAGTATAGTGACTAGCTACGGGCTGGACGGCCGGGGTTCGATCCCCGACGGGGGCAGAGGATTTTTCCTCTAGCCTCTGCGTCCAGACCGGCTCTGGGGCCCACCCAGCCTCTACAATGGGTACCGGGGTCCTGTCCCGGGGGTAAAGCCGGCCGGGGCGTGATGCTGACCACTCACCCCCATCTAGTGCCGAGGTCAAGGAAGAGAGGAGCTATACCTCCACTCACCCCAAACGCCTACATGGCGTATAGTGGGAGAAACTTAACTTAACTTAACGTTAGTCCGAAAAGTTGGAAACCACTTGCAAAACGACATGTACGACCCAGAATAACAAAGCCGAAGAATTGTTCTTGGATTCCTCGAACCTCATCTTCGTGTCTCACGAACTCGATGTTGTCTTAAGGGTATATGATATAATACGTCTGTCGGAGCTTACAGACTTCGGATTAGTGGAATAGTGTGATCAATTTTAAGTTGACACTGGCGAATTTGTACAACATCGTCATGTCTTGCAAGGTTATTGCAAATTAATGAAGTTTAGTAACCTGTAATCCGCGACCCGACCGCCTTCAGTGCCACAAAGTGATGGCTCCTAAAGCGACAACTACGCGGAAGCAGCATTTGAGACTTAACTAGGGTTTCTTCGTCTTACGCCATGAAAAAAGAAATTAAGACGCGAAATGTTCTTATTCCTTACTTTCATTTTATTCCAAAATGAAACATTTTATAGTCCTTTTTAAAAGTCACATTTAATGTAGTTAAAATACGAGTAATTTGTTCAGAATATTTCAAAGACATGAGAGGGAAACAAAAATTAGTCCAGAATTAAAACGCGGGTATGGTTTTTAATAGTTAAAGGACGTATATAATATTCAAATATTGAATGTCTTTCCAGAATTTGTTTTGTTCAGGGAAAGCAGAATTATATTTTTATCTGTACTCTGTCTATTTTATATTGGCACCTACGGTACACGTTCCGTAGCGCAGACACGGTCCCTTCGTAGAATAGACCGGCTCTAACGCACTCAGAACTTTTAAATACCCCCAACACGCCAGTTCCTATTATAGTGACGAGATTGGAATCGAATTGAAGTCGCTGGCACTTCACATGGGTTCGCATCTGCAAGCAACACAGTGCAATATCACAATAGGTCTTACTATTTCTTCAGAATCTGTCTCTCTCTTCGATTTCTTCTCTTTTATTCCCCTTTTGTTCGCACGAGATTGATTTGCTTTTGTGTTGATAATGTAGCCGTCTGCCACGCATGAATATTTAGAAATACAGAGTAGCGCCTCACAGAGCTTCGCATGTTGTAGATTTTATTGATCTGAGTCTATGTTCTCTATGTATTCCCCTCGCTTTCTAGCTGTTTTGAATAGATCGATAAGGGACACATTTCGATCACGTATCACATTCTTTCGTCTAAAATCGTACAAACTATTACTGACTTAGTAACGACCTTATATATATATATATATTTATATATATATATATATATTAAAGTATATAGGGCCTATAACTTGTATAAAATCATAAAAAGACACACATACAAACATATTGAGAACATATTTCCAGTTTTGCATAAAATTAATTAATTTATGACAATTAAACCATTGTATGTAAATTAATATCACATGAAACAATACATTGGGAGTTCTGTGTACATTTTTAATATGATTTTGTCGTCAAATAAAAAAATTAGTCTTCTAGGTTGCACGATTTAAAGACATTGAGTGAGACTTAAATTAACGTTTATAAGTTGGCTGTCTTCTGGGTTGTAGCGCCGTGTAGTCTGGTAGAAGTTTACTATCGTTTCGGAGGTCTTTGCTGCCTCTGACATCAGGACGGTCACAGGGCCTCATCGCCCTGATGATGGATGCAGCAAAGACCTCCGAAACGTTGGTAAACGTCTACCAGACTACACGGCGCTACAACCCAGAACACTGCCTTCTTCGTACTCACCATCGCGAGAACGTCAAATCCTTCTAAATTCGGGTAGACCTACTCTGGTATCACGTAAGGCTCAGTGTTCCTGAAAAGCAAGAAGGACCTCATTCTTGTGAAACTCAGCATTAACTAACCATTTGTGACGTCTTCACTGTTGCAAGACGGTACGAATTCCCAGCAGCCGCGCTTCTTATCCGCGTTTGTGCTCTCCTTGTGACAGCGGCTCAGGCGAACATCTGGGGACCGGAAGATGTTTACGTGAAGAAAGGCAGCACAATCAGCCTTACCTGCTCCATCAATGTCCACTCCACGCCTCCCGGTTCGGTTCTCTGGTACCACGGCGCGTCCGTTGTGGACTTCGACTCACCTCGTGGCGGCATCAGTCTCGAGACGGAGAAGACGGAATCTGGAACGACGAGCAAACTCCTCATCACAAAGGCGGCACTCACAGACTCTGGAAACTACACCTGTGTCCCTTCCAATGCAAACGCTGCCAGTGTCTGGGTCCACGTGCTGAATGGTGAGTTCGCTTTGATTTTACGTCCGTAAATTCCAGTCTTTTGACGAGATGATGGAGCTAACAGTTATAATTTTAAAATTATTTTTAGTGCATGTCGTTTCCGGAATACATTATAATATCAGTTGTCTAAGAAGTTTTGAATGAATAGTATAAAGTTCTGTGCCAATGTAACATTTTATAAAATAGTTATATACAAGACAAAGGAAGAATTAATTATGTATACCATATTGATATATTTTCGTCGTTTGTTTCGATGGCATGAATTTTGATCTGGCGTGAAATTTATCAGGTATAAACCTGATATTTCGATCTGTCATCATTCAGAAAATTTACAGTTAACGATGTTCAATATACACATTTAAAGTTATTTGTATGAAATTTTGATTATGGCGAGTGTTAGGTTATTTCAGTGAATGTGATTTGAAATAGGACGTGATGGACACTTTTTCTGCGAGATTAAGAATATGATTTTTTTTTTTTTTTTTTTTTTTTTTTTTTTTTTTTTTTGTAATGGCACAATTCTCGCCGTCTTTAATTTTGTGCACAAAGACCGGTGTAATCAGAGTGTCACTAGGGCACAAAACACATTCCGACAAGTTTCCCGATGTATCGATCTTTTCCTTCGACAAATTCTGCACAAAATGCGAGAAATTTATTCTTGAAGTTGTAGATTCGATAATTTTTTTGCTAAATAGACGGCAAATCGGTAGCCGTGTTTGATTATCCCTTCTAGTACTAAGAGATAACGTGTTTGCATGAGCTTCATTGCGCTACAAAGTCGTGTATCGTGAAGACGTAACAACAGCGGAAATGTGTCTCAATCACGTCTGCTTTTGTGACGTTGTTGCAGGTGAGCACCCGGCAGCTATGCAACATGGTGAACACGGATCCGTCTCGTGTATAGGCTCTGGGCCGTGGTGGCTGACGCTGCTGGTTGCCACAGCAACAGCCGCGTTCAGCAGCACTTATTGCACGATCAGGCAGAATGGACTCTTGCTGGCAGTGTCTAGATGATGAGTACGTGGCCAACTATGAATTAACAGAGGATCGAACGTGGAACACATAGCAGCGAAGTGTTTACTTCAGCAAAGCAGATGTGGACATTTGTAAATGGTGAAGTAAAACTATTATTTTTCTGTTAAAATACTTTTATGCTGTTAACAGTGGTCACTGGTTTGTTTGAATAACGATAATAGAAGTGAATTTCTGAGGTGGGATGTGATAGGTATGCTAGGCTAGGCACTTAGTAGCCAGGGACAATAAATAATGTTAGCACCTGTGGGAGAAAGCTGCCAAGGGTTAAATTGTGACAGAACCGATATGAGCTTGCAGAAACCAACGCTTCAGATGTCGCGGTAAAAGCTTCACGTCACCTAATTATTCGTTGTAGGTGTAACAGAGTTTCAAAATGGGGCGATTCATCAAATGAAACAAAATGTGATTTATTTTTAAAGTGAATGCATTAGAAAGAAAAAAAAATACTGGCGAGTACTGAATAAAATTTATTTATTAAATTCCGCATTATTCTAGAATATTGAAACATAAAAACCCTAAGTTAAAAAAATAGAACTTTAAGTGACTGAAGTAAATAAAATCTCTGGAAGGCAATTCACGGGGAATATGTATTTTTTCTTGTTTTTCAGTGACAAATTTTTAAAGCGTGTATTTTGTTATGAAAACCAGCAATGCGTAAGTTTCTTGTGGATGGATACAAAGCCAATTCATAGTAGACGCCATGTTGCTGACATTACATTAAGAACTAATGAAATGTAATGAGATGAAAACAAACGACGTGGTGTGTGTTTATACATGTGCCTATTTAGAGATGATGAATTAATCTGTGTGGTCATGTATGACAACATGAACAGAGTGAATTAAGTTTTTCGTAATGTAGCCTTGTCTGAAAACGTAACCGTGTTTAGGGATTCTCTCACTTCATGAAGCTGGCGCTGCTCTGTGCAAGAACAGATCCTTCGTAAATAATAGCTAAATATGAGACTTGGAAGCAGACGAGAAGTGACGTCATTGAATTTCTGTCTCAAATCGAAAGTGAACAGTCCTGCGTTGTTGTGGTCATAAATTATGATGTAAGCCCGGATCTTGTATCGGTAAAGTACGTGATAAGGCCACAATCTAAGAGTTGACGACTGTCCTTTGTGAAATAGTGCAAAAAATACCCTGGACGTTCAAATAGAAACCTGGCAATATTGTATAAAGACGTGTAGAGCTACAGGAGATTTGGCAACATCACAATGCTGCACTAGGTGATTGGTAACGCGACTGCTGGAACAGTGTGCAATTATATTTCACGTTCACGGAGACAGGAAGGAAACGTTTTTATGCACGAGTTCCACAAATAAAATGGCGCAACGCGATAATTCAGTGGAGGGGGAATCGACGTGTGAGAAAGTGGAACTGCGAGGCGGGAAAAATGGCGTCCCGGGCACGAACAAATCAAATTTTTTTTTACCCCACATCTGAAATACTATTTCAAACTGAATTTATTATTAGGGTAAAGATGTTACTGCAGTTTTACCGTGTTACAGAATTGTCATCAGATTTTTTTACTAAGACTTTCAAACATCGTGGTTGAAGCCCCATTTCGGATTGAGAACCCTGGAAGTCCCCTCCAATCGTCACCCACTTGGGGAAGTCCTGAGGGTTGCGTAGTTCCCAGGGAACGGCCTATATATGGGCTTAGCTAAAAGACGCTACAGACGAACATGGACGGTTAAATCTTAACTTTTCATGATCTTAGCACAAAGTAACAGGCAAACATATTTCTGCCTTGTTAAATACAAGTAGAATGTATAATACCTTGATGACGTAACTAAATGAGAAGCAGTTCCACTTTCTCGCCTAAATTCCATCGTGTAAGAAAAATCATTCCTACGCATACGAGTATAAGAAAGCTGCTGTGTAATTTACACAGAAATTTTGAAGGCCAGTCATAAATTATTGTGAGTTGTAACATTTGCATTACAGACGGAGAAGTAAAACAGTGGTTCGAGAGTATCAAATAATTCAGTTGACCTGTGCAAATAATGTACTAGGAAAACTCGACGTGCTCGAATATTGTATGTTAATTGTCCATTTTTTTTTTTATGAAAATGATAATTGGAAGTAAGTTAAACAAATGTCTGAGATTTTGCTAACTTGACGGGAAATACCATGGTGCAGGTGGATATATGGACTGTTATTAATCCAGCGTGATTCCAAAGGAACAAATATTTCATTTAAATGTTGGACAGGAATTTTGAAACCAGAAAACTACTCGTAATTGTATTTAAATATATTAAAAGGAATTATATATTCCTGTGCTGAAACTGGAATATAACAGCAGCCCGAATTGCCAGGACATGCAATTTATATAACTTCGGCTTTTATGGATTAGCCTAGGTTTAGGAGAATTTTAACTTTCTCCATTTTCAGGGCTGAATTTCAGCGAGTGTGTTCCTCTGATATGTTGGTTTCCAATCGAAAGATTTATAAGGCCCAACGACCCAAAAGATCACCACTTATATTCCAACTGTAATGTTTACAAAATTATTACAAGACCAAACGTGCGTGTTATTATTATTATTATTATGAATCAATTGTTTGGTTGGTCCACAAACAGCCAAAAACTTCGGGCGTGTTAATATTAATATTATTATTATTATTATTACGTACCAAACGGCCAGTCCTCGAAAACCAAATTATCTACGCGAAAAATCAAGGGGCAGGAAACATGTAGTTTGTTCCATAACAAAAGATTTTATTTTACAGTATGAGAATAATGTTTATAAATATTGCTTTAGTTCTTTGTCTTTAAATTCCAATATATTATTTGTGTTCCACCTCATTTTAATGAGAAAATTGCTCATTTACAACATGTGTTTCCGATGAACCTGAATAGAAAACTGCATCCATCAGCTGTTAGAATAGACTAATTATTATGATGAGTGAAAAATGACATTTCTACCTGACTCCCACTTGTGTATCAGCTTGTAATTCCACCATATAAATGATAAAAATTAAAGCGTAACATAATGAAATTATGCGTTGTGATATTCATTTAATCCTTCAAAGCCCAGTGGTAACTTTATGTGTACGAAACAAGGTGCTTTAATAAGCAGTAAATTTGTATTGTCTCTCAGAGAATGTTTCGGAGCTCCTTTCGTCTATAAATTTCTGTTGATTATTAATACTTCGTTTTTCAGTGTTTTTTGTTATGTTGTGGGGTTATTTATAACGGGATTGCGTTGGTGCGGGACCTCTCAAAAAGATTAGTTCTTCAAGTCAAGCAGACAGATTCTGCTTGTATCTTCAAATTTCAAGTGCGAATACAACAGCCGAATCATCGCGATGCCTTCTGATCAGAGTAATTGATTGTAAAATAGAGTGTCTCGATGCGAAATAAAAGGTGACATCTCCAAGGTAACTTCGGTGCTGTCTTCAGTTGCTCAACCACACATATTTCACGTCCTTGGCGCAAAAGCCGCTCCAACCATCGCAATCCCCGTATATTCGCTGAGATTCAGAGACTCCTGCTCTCCGACAAAACCCGCACCAATTATCCCTTTATATCTCAATCTGTAGTCTCACCCAAACCGGGCACACTACATGTTTTAATTGAGTGGAAATCAAAGTAAGAAGAAGAAGAAGAGTCTGCGGAAGGGCGGTTGCATTGGGTTAGGTTAGGTTGGGTTAGGTTAAGATAGGCCAGAAACTGTCATAAAGAGACCGGACGTTACTGAGACAGCGTCCTTCAGAGAAATTGTCCAAAAAGCCCACAAAACACAAAAAATTTAAAAAATTTCACTTTCAAAATT